CTGAACAATAACCCGAACCTTATGTTCACTCTAACATATCAGCATTGTGAGGTTTACACTGAGTTGCACATTCTGATGCGGTATGTTTCCTCTATGTTTATGATCTTCTTATGCTTTCATAAAAATGATAGTTTATATTATGTTAATAGAGAACTATTTTAGAGGCGGTCTCACACTTGGTTATGGCTAGAGTGACAAATCACATGCCCCCATTTCATAGAGGTTTGCGACACCTTGACCTAGATTGTGTCAGACATATGCATTACATCAATCATTTGTAAATCGATGGTCATGCGACACAAACTTATTCCACCTGGTCGTGGGTGAGATGACAATTACTTTATAGTACTTTAGAATGATACTCGGTGTGTGCATTGATGATCATCCAATGATTAGTCAAATGTAATAGGTGCAGGCCACAGGTGGGTTTCATGGCCTGATTGTTTCAATGAACTTCTTGGAGCTCATCCAAAAGAAGATGTTGTGTATCACGACCCAACAAATCCGACGTTAAAATCTACATTTTGAATGGGCCAATCTATAAAACATACTTGCAAGCCCCTCAGATGACTTAGGTCGGATTTCTTTCATGAGTCATGCCTAGACTTAGATGACATTTCGTTTTAGAGGCACATTCACGCTTACATATTATTTATAGTTGGTTGTTTTCTACTGCTTCATACATCTGCATTATTTGCCTCTAATGGAAAATCTTGAGGAATTCACAAGTAATCATTAGGAGGTGTGGTACTAGCCCATCTTTATAGAGAGCTGAAGCTTGCCACGAAACCCAGGAAAAGGAATATGGCTGGTTGTTTATATTTTTTATAGATTTGGAGGTGGGAACATCTCCATATTGGTCGTCCAACACTACATGTACCATATCGTTATAACTTAGAAGGCAAAAGCCTTGGATTCAGGTCTGCATTGTTTATTCATATAATAGAATAAATTTGAATGTACATTTTAATGCCAACTTATAGGTGGAATGTGCAATGTGTACGTGAAATGCCCGCAGGCAATGTTTTAATCTATAGAGATCAAAATAATGGCGTGCTTGAGAGCCAAATTAGTATATATTTTAAATTGCAATTATAATTTTATTTGTGTTCCATTGTTATTGTTATACATCATGCATATCTTTAGATTACTATTTAGGTTATATGGGAGCCCTACGACTAGCAGATAATGACACAAGTGGTTGAAATTTGCACTGTAGGGCAATATATATGGAAAGCTCGAGTCCTTTTGATATATTGGCAATGTGTAGAGTGGCATTTACGTGACTGTGTTATGAGAGAATTTGGTGAGATTTAATGACTAGACATGGAGCCAATGGAGCCAAGTTTTGAGGTACAGATGATAGGGAAAAGGCTGATTTGGATTGGTCTGACTACCATCAGTCTTATAGTGAAAAATGGGATAATCGATGAGCTCTTATTATCCACCAAGGGATTACAGATGTTGATGTGGGTCAATTCCATAGAGACTATGTGTTGGTGCAGGTCTTAGACATCTTTGTACTTACTTCAAGCTCTAGTTGAGGCTTCAACGACTTAATATCCGAGAGAACTGAGAGAGAGGATTTTGATATGTCTACACACGTGGAGAAAAATAAGTTTATGTCCACTGTTCAAACTAATACATGTTTTTTTTTATGCTAACGTCATTTTTTCTTAAGAGTGGAGGATATTTTCCAACTAGCATTCCACTGAGGTGATAACAACCCATTACAAGAATTGTAGAGGTACTTGAGGGGTTTTGTAGAGATGTTCGTCGGAACATGTATATTATAAACGATCGTTATAACACAGAGAAAATTCCAACGCAACCATCTACATCAGACACAGTGGACTCTCTTGGTATTATATGTGTTGCCCCACATACTCCTGATCCAGTTCCTTTAACTTTTTGTACCACGGGTGGATTACAGGTTGCAGTCGGTTCACAGGATGCTCGTGAATCACAAGACACACATTTATATACGAGCACACAACTTATTCCACCACGACATGAGGCGCCATTGACACCCTCAATTTATCAAAGCTCACCTCCATTTTGGATGGGTGGCATACCTTTCCTAGTCAGAAGTCCTTACACTGGGCATTTGTGGATGTCTCCATCTATTCCGTCTCAACAAACACAAATCATAACACAACCCGACCAGGTGTCACGACCTCAATATTTGCAGGAAGTTGACTAACATCATTTAAGAGATTGACTTTTTTTGTGCACCTACGTTTTACATATCGAGGAGAGATGTTATACCTCCAAGGAGACGTCCTAAACATTAGTTTCTCATGTCTCTCTCCTATTCATAGGTGATGTGCTCTATAATTTCAAATATTAGTTTTGCTACTAATTTCATTCATCGAAAAACTTAAGTCAAGTTGTATTTCTCTACAGATATCTACATTGGAGTTTAGCGACTGTTTTCTTAGTTTTGAAGTGTGTTTTGGAAGAGCACTCCAATTTTCTTTACTTGGTTACCTTTATGTATAAAATAGGAAGGTTGAGGTCTTAGATATGTAAAAGACACATATAAACTTTTTGTATAAATTTTTCTTATATCTGTGGCAGGAAATTCTATTTATTTTTTGTGAATATAATTTTGCAGATGTCTCCAAATCTCAATTTAAAAGTAAATTAAGCTTTTTTTATTTTTTATTGTTTACTTTGAAAAAATGATTATTTGTTGGACCCATTTGAGTAAATCATCTTTTAAGGTAAAGGAGCATATTGCATTGTGATAAGAGGTAAAGTTGATTGTTTTAGAGAGATTGCTTGCTTTATTTCAAGTATTTAATAGAAAAATTTCTGTTATCTCAGCTAGAATTGGTTTTTAATTTTTTGGAAATTACATATGCAACACACAATTCTTAAAGAAGCATATTGCATTGTGATTTGAAAGATTTGAGTGATATGAATAAAAAAGTAAGATTTAAGTGTTAGTTATGTGAATACATAGAAATTTGGTGATTGTAAATGTCCTATTTTCTTATTAGCACACTATTTTTGAACTTGAAATGTTGGTAAAAAAGAATGGATTTATTGGAGGTTATTGTTTTTATTATTATTATTTTATTTCTCTGCTATTATTTAAACCATGAAAGTTTATTCTTAGTTATGAATGTAAAATGTGAAAAATTTATTTGATGTTGTGTATAATTACATATATTCCTTATAAATGCTTGTTAACATTTCAGGTTGTATAAAACAACGGATTACACAGTTAAAAAATATTATAAAAAATCACCACGTGGCGTGGTGATTTCTGCCACTTAGGATGAATCGCCATCCTACGTGGTAATTTCTCCTACAAGACAGAAATCACCACGCTAAGTGGTGATTTAATTTATTTTATCATAAAATAAATTTTGACAGTTTTATTTAAAAGGATAAAATTAAAAAAAAAATCTCTTTTTTAAAATTTAGTCGAACATGAGTACAAATCAAATCCTTCATGATATTTACATAACATAACCTATTGGAATATTGCAGAAGTCGAAGCCACGACAAAAAGAAAAAAAAGTAATTACCTAATTTAGTCAACTCAAAGGAAAATAACAAAACATTGCAATTGAACTGGTGAAAACAATTAATTAAACGAAAAGAAACAAATTATGCATATCATTGTTTGTATGTTGAATTTAGAGGCATAATTGTGTAAAATCAACTCGTGTGCCGACTCTGACCCTGCTCGATAAGTGGCAAGTAAGCTGAGCTCAAGGAACCAACTCAAGCCAACCTCGATTCTACTTGTTTGCTCATTAAAAAAAATTAATATAAAATATACTAAAAATATATTAAAGCTCAAAATTTTTATTTTTAAATTAATAAAATGTATAATTTTTTTTTAATTATTTGTCCTAATTACTTATTTTTTACTCATTTTATTATAACACAAACTTAAACCAATAATATTCTACTTATGAGCCAATTCGAAACCTATAGCTAAAACTGATTAATTAATAAGCTCAAGCACAGGGTGCCTCGAGCTCGACTCATTTACATTGCTGGTTACCCCACCAAAGCCCAACCCTTTTTTTTTTTTCTGTTTTTTTAAATATGTGGATCAGCCGATACATTCTACAGTCTAAATATGAACATCTTTAAGAGCCAACTGAAACAACACGAGTGCAATTTTTAATTCTCCACTCAGAATCTGTGATGTGGCTAGCAAACAGCTTGCAACGGACATTATACGACATGAAATTACCCGCACCTAAAATTATTAAAAAGCTATCTGCGATCAACCAGCAAATCATTACTGCAATCAAGGGTACACAAGGACAACTGCAGATTATAAAACTGCTGTGAGAAAAACATCTAAAATAAAATCAATGAAAATCATAAATATTACCTTCTTTCTTATAACAAACACACTTCAATAATATTTTGTTGTAAAATAATTTTCACTAATAATCCATAAAAAGACTAATAAATTGTGGCGACAATATGATGAATAACAGAGAAAAAAACTGCAATACGTAAGATGTACGCAGCGCTGCGTACGTCAGGGTTATACAGAAGATATATGGGAGTTGCATCCGCATTATATCCTTTGTAACGTACATGTAACCTACCTGTACTTCTTAGTAAGTTCTATGCTTCTGTTTTCATATATTTGTAAGTTACAGATAGGTTACAAGAATGTTACAAAGAATATAACGCGGATATAACCCCTTATACCCTCTGTATAACCCTGACATACGTAGCACTGCGTACGTCTCACGTACTCAATTTTTTCCCCCCGACCCCAAATCTCAAAAACTAATGCTTCCCATAATTGAGCTGGTGTCTGGGCAAATATTTTTCTTTTTTAACCATATATTTTTAATGAAAATATATAATATAATGGTAAGAAATTTCTCTAAATAAGCTATCAGCGTAATTATGAAAATATATAACAAAATATTGCAGTATTGTCAGGTGATACAAATAAGAAACCGGCCACCAACCAGAGTTTCTAAGTGAAAACCGCAAACAAATTGCCTTCATGATCGATATACACCCTAAAAATACTTGCTTATGCAGTATAAATAATTTATAAACAAACTATACAAAAAAAAATGCCCGCCAAAAATCAACTTTTACAATTAAAATAAAATTAACCCTCTCAACCATTAGTATTAAAAATCAAGAAACTATACATTATGTACCCAACAGAAAAGTGTGCTGTATTTCTCGGATTCGTCGGTCAGCAATCATTCTCATTGAAGATTGTGGGGGCTGCAGCGGTAGAAGGAAGCCTGGAAAGCACGGGCTGGGGTGGCGGAGCTGTGATGGCATAAGGGAGCCTTAAGGAAGCACTCTCAATGAGCCCTGCAACTCCTGCTGCAGCAGACTGAGCGTTGGAAGGAAGAAACAGATCATGTCTTTGGTCTTTATAGGCGCTCCAAACCTATCAAATCAGAAAATGGTTCAACAAATCGTCAAACAGTTTGAAAATCAAGGAGCTCTTGGGAAACAATTTTGATTTTGTATGTATTTTTATTTGAAACAGAACATGTTTGATAGGTCATAATATATCTAGTTCTTTTTAAAAACGCTTAAAATAATTTTTAGATGCGTTCTTAGAAAAAGAAATTTACGCAAGTAGCATACAATTCTTACGTCTTTATATATCTCACTTCTAAATTTTCATATTAGCAGACAAAGCGCTTGGGTGCTCTAAACCTATGCATGAAAAAGTATATTTCACTTTAAAAAAGTGATAATAGTACTATTTTTTATATGATATTAGAGATTTGAGTGATAAGTGTGTAAATATAAAAGCATAGGTATGAGATATGTAAAGACATAAGAATTGTGTGTTAAGTATGCAGGTGTCCCTTTTTAAGACAAACGAATTCTTTTAAAAAAACAAAAAAATAAAAACACAAAAACAATACACTAAACAAATATGGTTTTAAAATTAAATAAAAAATAAAAAACAAAAATGATCCCAAACAAGCCCTAAGTTAAAATCTTGCTTAACTTTTGCTTAAACACGAAAGAAACTTCACAAATCATCTGATGAAAGATAGGTACAGATACTTTCACAGTTAAGGCAAGAGAAACATACATCAGAAGCATTCAATATTTCACGAACTTTGGCACAGTGAGCACCATCAGTTGCAAATGCATGCAAAACCTGAATTAAAACAAGGCCTCAAAAGGTGGCAATATCTGATAAAAACTACTAGGAATTTACGGAAAAAGTTTATCCGAGACAGTAGAATGCATACCTCGACAGCTAGGACGCGACCAATGGAAGCTTCAGTCTCACTCCACTTCATTTGTGAGCAGAGACCATTTCTTCCTCCAGCTTTCCAATCAAGAACTCCAAGCAACACTTCAACGAGGCCAACCCTAGAAAATTGACATCCGCTTAACAGTTTGACACATTCTAACAAATCTTTTAAATATGTGTGTGTGTACCGCCGAATGCATGCCATCTTAAAACATTCAAAACACAGAAAATATTTTATTTTCTGTTTCGAAAACACATTTTTTTTTTATCTATTTCCTAATAGAGCCGCTCCTTCCTCTCTACGCTCGTTCCCTTCCCACGCCAGACTACTTCAGTCAGTTCCTACGGCTTCTCCTTCGGAAGGTGTCACTGATGATCACTCTTTTGGCCCTCACAGGTATATCTACTTTCTTTTCTTTCTTCGGCTCCTGTTCAATCATTCTGCTCTTACATCTAGGCAACACCAATATGCTTTCCTTTCTGGAGTCCCTTTTCTGTGTAGAAGTTTGTTGTAGTTTATCTTGAAGATAGTGTCTTTTTGTAATGTTACCGGAAACGAGGCTTTCTTACTACAGAGGAAAATGAGCCTTGAACGCTTCTTCATTGCACGCCATAGATCAGTATTTTTTGTTTGGCACATCACTTAAGGTTCGTTCTGCTTCACGGTATTGTTTCTGTGGAATCGATTGTTCTAATATCACTTCTTATATGGCATCTAGCTTTTGAGTTTCATGTTTTGTGCTTTATCTATGTTAATTGTTTGGAAGATTAACATAGCACTCAATTCCTATCTATTTAAATAACTGACACCTAATCTTTAATTTTTACATACATACCATCTTACTTATTCATGAAAGATGTAGTTCACATTTTAAAGTGCTATGTAACTGCCCGTACTTCACGTAGCAATGTTCCAAGTGCTATCTATGTAATTGTTCATACTTTATGTTGATAGGACAAGTTGGCTATCCATATAATATGTAAATAAATGCTCACTTCTGCTTTCCAAAAAAAGCCTGGGAATTATATGACTAAGATTCTTTATGTTGATAACAACTAAACTTTAAGTTGATGGGACAAGTTTTAAAAATTAAATGGTAGTTGTACTTTTTATGTAATACTAAAGCTTTAAGTATTGTGCATGTAAATATGAAAGTATAGGTGTCAGATATGTAAATGCATTAGAATTGTATGATATGTATTTAAATGCCCCATATGCTTGATGTGCATTTGTTTTCATCTCCCAATTGATATACTCCAAGTGTTAGATTAGCAGATTGGAGATGATGATTGAATACGAGACCGATAGTTTGATTTTGCCTGTAATTTGATTATGTTTAATTTTTTTAACAATTTATTATCTACTTTAATTGAATTAAATTTTCAATATATCTTTACAGACTACGAATAATAGTAATAAAATTGAAATCAGTTGAGAGTAAGTATCTTCAGATAAAAATAAGCAAATTTTCCTTCAATTTATGAAAATTAAAGTAATTAAGGGGAACAGACAGACAGCCACTTTCAATCTAGTTGCATGGTCACATATTATACAAACATTTAAATCTTCGACAAAAAGAAAATACAAAACAACCAACCGAGAAATAAGTTCAATAGGCTTAGATCTTGTGATACAGGATTTATAATCCAAATCACAATAGAAAATAAATTATTAGTGCTGAAATTCAAAGGTTACAACTCTTCAATTCAGAAATAAAACAGCACAAAACACAAATGACCGGCTAAAGCTATGCCAAACAGCATATATGGCAGCTGCAAGACGGTGGGGTACGGGGTGGCAAGTGATGAGGTGACAGGAATGTAAGGAATGGAGGAGATAGGTACACTGGATGGGTTTGTTATGCCCCGGAACCAAAATCAGCAAGCAACAACGACAAAACGATAATAGGTAGAGGGAAAAACTCAAATGAGGGCTGCTCTTACGAAAAACAAATGAAAACAAGCAATTTACAATGATGATCTACTACTTTTTGAGAGGTAGATCGTCTCTCCCACAATTCTAAATGTCGCTAGGAACACCACAAAAAGATAAAAAACACAGCATCCAATCAAACATGCATAAGAAAAAACAAATCCTAGATTATTCCCCTTAATAGATTCCTCTCACAACATTTCAAACTTCCCTTCCCGATTTTCCCTCTAAACTCCTTTAATTTTTCCTCATTGAGTATGTGATTAAGGCCAATCAAACATGCATATGCTCCTAACTTTCTTCTATCGCACCAATTTGCCGCTCCGCTCCTTGGGGAAAAGACCAACCTGCCTGCTGTTGTGGTGGGCCGGTTGGGTGGTTCTTGATCGGTCCAGGAGGGATTGGTTCACTTGCGGGCATAACAATGCTCTCCTCCCAAAGAAGTACCTTGTCCTCAAGGAGGAAGGATGGAAACTGTTTGTGGAACACCTCATAAAGCTCTTACGTTGCTTCATATTCTGGTAGTCCTTTCTACTTTATCAATACCTCCTTTGCTCCCCCTACTCCTCAGCTCCAGAATCACCTTGAAGTCCTCTGTCAACGTCAACGTAGTGTTGACAAGGGTGTATAATCTCCAATTGCATGTCTCAGCTGTGATACATGGAGGTCGGGTGTAGTGCGAACATGATGGCAACCTCAAACGGTAGACCACTGCCTCGATGCGTGTCATCATCTCATAAGATCCAAAGTATCGTGATGAAAGTTTTTCACTTCTCCTGGATAGTCTTTTATCGATAGGGCCTCGACTTCAAGTAGACCATGTCCCCTGGTTCTAATTGCGCCTCTCTTCTCTGTTTATCTGCTTTCCTTTTCACGATTTGTTTAGCTCTCAGTAGACGCCCCATGAGCTCTGCTAGTATCCTGTCCCTCTCCTCTAAGTACTGATCTACATTGGATACTAGTGTAGAGCCATGTCCATAATGTATCGAGTGAGGTTGATCCCGCCCATATAATATCTTGAAAGGGGTGGTCTGTGCTACAGTGTGGTACGAATTATTATACCAATATTCGACACACACAATTCACTTTGCCCATAGCTTTGACATATCAGATACAAAACAATGCGGGTATGTCTACACACTCTTGTTGACCACCTTCGTCTGTCCATCGGTCTAAGGATGATATGCGGTGTTTCTCTTAAGGACTGTCACTTGCAACCTAAATAGCTCATTGCAGAAGCAGCTAAGGTACATCTTGTCCCTATACAATACAATCGATATCGGCATTCAGACCACTTCTCAGATAAATATCACCATGGCTGAGACCACAGTATAGGGATGTCATAAGAGAATGAAATGAGCATATTTATTCAGGCGATCCATGACCTCCATGATCATCATAAACCCTTATGAACGTGGCAACCCCTAAATAAAATCCATTGTCGCTTCTTCCCAGGTAATGCTAATAATTGTAGTAACCCTCCTGGTGTCGTGATCAAGTATTTGTGTCGCTGACACACATCGCATTTTGCCACCATATCTTCTATGTCTCTATGCGTCCCCACCCAATAAAGCTCAGCCGCTAGACCATTGTTGGTCTTTTATACCCCTGAGCGTCGATCGCACTGCCATGAAACTCCTGTAATAATCTAGGAACACATCTGACGCCTTGGGCAGCACAAATCGCCCATGGTGGAGCAGCTGCTGCCCCATCAATGCATATCCTAGATGACTGATCGAATCCTGTAGTAGCTCGACCCTTATCTTCCTCAACTCCTCATCTTGTTCGCTCTTCTATCTCAAGGCTTCCCACTCCAGGACCAAGGGCACTGATAAGAGGTTCATTCACCTTTCTCGACAGTGCGTCAGCTACATTGTTCTCCAATCCTGGCCAGTACTGAATCCCGATATCATACCCCAGTAGCCAAGATAACCATGTTTGCTTGTTCCAGAAGATACTTTAAAATCCTTTGATCTGTCCTAACCAAAAAATGTCGTTCCAATAGGTAGAGCCGCCACTTCTGAATGGCCAAGACAACCATCATCAATTCTCATTCATATACTGACTTTAGCCTCGCTTTGGTCGTAAGAACTTGGCTGAAGTAGGCAATCGACCGTTGGTCCTGCATGAGCATTGCTCCAACTTGTACCCTGACACATCCGTTTCCACCACAAATGGTTTACTGTAATCTGGAAGTTCTAATAATGAGACGCTGGTCATGGCTCTTTTAAGATGTTCAAATGCTCGTGTTGTTACTCCCTCTCCCCTCATTTGAAATTGTCTTTCTTCAAATGCTCTGTCAATGGTCATGTTATTGTGTCATATCCTCTCACGAACTTCTAGTAGTAACCGGTGAGACTAAGGAATCCTCTCGGCTCCTTCAAACTCCTTGATAAGGGCCAATTCACCATAGCCTTGATCTTGTACCCATCCACTAGTATCTCCATTTTGGTTACCACATGTCCTCGGTACTCCACCTGTACTGTGCAAATGAACATTTTTTCAAGTTGGCATACAACTGGTGCTCCCTTAACATCTTCAGAACTTTCCTTAGATGCCTTACATGCTCAATCTTTATACGACTGTAGATCAGAATATCATCAAAGAATACCAGGACAAATTTTCAGATGTAAGGTTCAAAAACTCTATTCATGAGGGACTGAAATTTCGTCGATGTGTTGGTGAGGCCAAACAACATCACAAAAAACTCATAATATCCTTCATGTGTCCTAAACGCTGACTTAAGATCAATTTTTGAGAAAATGACTGCCCCATAAAACTCATCCAGTAACTCACAATCACAAGAACAGAAAACTTGTCCAACATCGTCTCATTGTTCAAAGCCTAGTAGTCCACGCAGAATCTCCAACTTCCATCTTTTTACTTCACCAACAGGCCTAGACTGAAAAAAGGTCTCACATTAGGCCTGATAATCCCGACCTCAAGCATCTCTCAAATCAGCTTTTATATCTCATACTTCTAAATCTGGGGGTACCTATATGGTCTGACACTGATTGAGGAAATACCCTCCTTTAACGTAATAGCGTGCTCATGCTCCAATAAGGGAGGTAACCCGCTTGGCTGTTGGAGGACATCCGCAAACTGTTGTAAGAGCAACTGGACCCCTTTAGGAAAGTCTGTCAACTTTGAATTTCGAATCTCATCAATGCTCTGCAACTCCACAAA